AAAAAAATATAGAAGTGGGCCGGACGTGGTAGCTCACGCCTGTAATCCTAGCACTCTGGATGGCCAGGTGGGAGGATTGCTTGAGCTCAGGAGTTCGAGACCAGCCTGAGCAAGAGCGAGACCCCATCTCTACTATAAATAGAAAGAAATTAGCCAGGCATGGTGGCGTGTGCCTGTAGTCCCAGCTACTCGGGAGGCTGAGGCAGGAGGATCGCTTGAGCCCAGGAATTTGAGGTTGCTGTGAGCTAGGCTGACACCATAACACTCTAGCCTAGGCAAGAGAGTGAAACTCTGTCTCTTTTTATCAATTCTTTGTGTTAGGAACATTTCAAATCTTAGCTATTTTGAAATGTACACTATATTGTTGCTAACTATAGTTACCCTACTTTGCTTTCAAACACTAGAAATTACTCCTTCTATCTGGCTGTATGTTAGTACTTACTAATCAAACTTCTCTTCATTCCCACCCCCCTTCCCAGCCTCTGGTAACTGTGATTCTACTTTCTACTTCCATGAGATCAGCTTTTTTGCCTCCCACATGAATGGGAACTTGGAATATTTGTCTTTTTGTGCTTGGCTTATTTCATTTAACATAATGACCTCCAGTTCCATCATGATGCTGCAGATGACAGGATTTCATTCTTTTTTGTGGCTAAATAATACTCCATTGTGTATATATAACACATTTTCTTCATTCATTCATCTGTAAATGGACACTTAGGTTGATGCTGTGTCTTGGCTATTGTGAATAGTGCTGCAGTAAACATGGGGGTGCAAGTATCCCTTTGATATACTGATTTCCTTTTCTTTGGATAAATAACCAGTAGTGAGATTGCTGGATCAACAGTCCTTTGATGTAGGCCTGACAATTATCCACAAATTGCAAAACATACATATGGTGCTCTATATATGTGGGTAGGTTTTATATGCATGTATATATGACTGGAATCACTGTATAATATCAAAGACGACCCTGAGCACTCTGTATTCACCAAGGTTTAAGGTGATTCTGATCTACACCAAAATTTGAGAATGATAGAGGTCCTCTATTAATGTCAATACTTACCTAATCACCATTTTCAGATTCTTCTATTACCTCTCTAATAATGTCTGCTCCCAAATTGCTTAGCCATATTTGAGAATTGCCTAAGCATTTAATTTCCTGAATATTATTTTCAGTTTAATCCTTCCATATCTTTTTTAGGTTACTTCCCCAGAATAGAAAAAAATGAGTATTTGCATTTTTATTTTCTTTCAGATCTGGAATCAATGTGTGGGACCAAGATACTATCCCTAAAGAAGAGACATTTCAGACAAGTAATACTTACCCATGAAGACATGCCCACTTTTATTCAACCCACCTTTCTCACTCTACATCAAAAAACTAATAATGAAGAGAAACCCTGTGAATGTAAGATGTGTGGAAAGACCTTTAATCAGAACTCACAATTTATGCAGCATCAGAGAATTCATTATGGTGAAAAACCCTATGAATGTAAGGAGTGTGGAAAATCCTTTAGTCGTGGCTCACTTGTTACTCGGCATCAGAGGATTCACACTGGTGAAAAAC